CGGCTGTCTTGAGCCACAGTCCTCGGTGGACACGTCCAGTTACTGGGAAGCCACCAGGGGACAAGTTGAGGCTTCTCTGGAAATGGGGCTGGAGTTTGGCAGTGCCCGGAGATGCCAGGCCTAGTTGAGCTTCGCGGCCGCCCAGGCGAGCGTCTCCAGGATGTCTCAGCAGCYCGACGGCAGGGGTCAGAGGTCAGCTCAGCGCAGGAGTCAGTGCGCCTCACAGATGGGGCTGCGTGGGTGCCCCACATTGGTGAGGGACGTGTCTGGTGAAGTGTGGCCATGATGTAAAGTCTCCCTGAGAGGTGGCAGTGGGGACCTTCTCATTGACACYGTTGTCATTTGACCCGGGAGGACAGTGTCTCTGCTCCCCAGAGCCCAGCCGCCTTCCCWCGGGGCAGAGGAGAGTGAAGGGCAAGACTCAGTCGCCCTGTGTGTGCAGGGGCTTGGGATTTTCTGGTGGCASGGAAGCCCCCTCCTGGGAGAGCAGGAGGGCACTGAGCAGAGGGCAYGGGTGGACTCTGAGGTTGGACGGAGCCGCCTGCTGCCCCAGTGCCAGGTTCTGCCTGCCGGGGGATGACCCTGGGCAGCTTCCTAAGCCCGCAGGCTTGGCCTCCACACCAGCCAAACCTCTGGGTGACCCAGAGGGGACATGATGTGGACTGGTGGGGGTGGGTCTCCCTGGCAGAAGCCCTTTGCCCTGAGTCTCCCTGCCAGGAGCTCAGCCTGTCAAGCGTCTCAGTTGGAAAAAGTGTGAGTTTCTCAATTTTCTCTAGGAAAAAGGCAGGAGAGCTCCGGCCCCCGTTCCAGCTGAGCTGTCTGGCAGCGAGGCTTGGTGTGGGCAGAGAGCCCCGTGGACTGGCCACTTGCCCACGCACCTGTTGCTCTGACAGACAGGTTCCTCTGGGATCTTGTCTCAGCCTCTGAATTTCTCTGCCTCTCTCCCGCCACTCTCCATTCAGCAGCTGGGGGCTGTCTGGACCCCAGCCCTTCATTATCTGATGTGTCCTAGTCTGCGAGGGCCGTGTGGCCCCTCACTGCAGACCAGTGGCCTTCATTTCCTCGGGTCTGGGAGCCCCAAGTCCAGGGTTGAGGTGTGGGCAGGGCTGGTTCCTCCTGAGTCCTCTCCTGGCTTGCAGACGACACGGTCTCCCTGGTGCCCTGGCAGGACCATTCCTCTGCCGGCGTCTGTGYCCTCCTCTCCAGTCGTCTTGGATCAGGTCCACCCTAAGGACACTTTAACTCGATTCCCTCTTCAAAGGCTTTATCTCCAAATACAGTCCCATTCTGAGGCCCCGGGCTTAGACCGCAGCCCGCGGATCCGGGGAGCACTTGAGCCTGTGAACACTGCGAGTCTCCACATGCCAAGCGCGGCCCTGGGCTCTGGGGCATCTTCAGCGCTCCCTGCAGCCAGAACCCAGGAGCCCTCCAGACTGGACCTTGTCCCCTCCCTGGCACAGATGAGGCACTGGCCAGGCCAGGCTGCTTCCRACCCTGTGGTGCTGGCGTGCCACCTGCACAGTGCCCTGAGTGCCTCGGCCAAGGCAGGGCTGCCCCTGGGCCAGGAAGGACGTGGAGAGGCCTCCGTCCCCTCTTCTTTCCTCTTCTGCGGCGAGGGTCGCACCAGGTCTGGTGGCCGCCATCTCTCCAGCTCCACCCCAGGCTTTATAACTCCCCTTGGAACCTTGGGGAGGGGGCCTGTGGGCCAGGGAAGCCCCTCAGCTTCTGCAGGAAGGGCCAGGGGAGCTCTCTCACAGGGCAGCCCCTGCTCAGAATGTGCTGGGRGGGTGCGTTTGGAAACGGCATGTGCTGCTTCCTGCCTTGGCGTCTTGTTGTATTTTGTTGAGGAATAACTTCAAACCAAGAGAAATGGGCAGGCCCCAAGGACAGAAAGGCCACCACCCGGGCGGCCTGGGCTCACCACGGTGCCGCACTGCRCCCTTGGCCGGCTCCCCGCACATGAGCATGCACTGACATTTTGCCATATTTCCTTGAGATTTGAAAAATAGAAATATATGTTAAAGGTAAAGATAAGCCTTTCGTATTGTTTCCCCTAGTTCCTGTCCTCTGTCCAGAAGTCACCCCTGAATTCAGTCTTGGGTCTCTCTCTCTCTCTCTCTCACATACACACACACACACACACACACACACACACCCCACATGCATACATATACAGACACACAAAGGTGTATATGTAATATATCCATAAATCACCCAGAATTTGGTGTATGCATAGACACAGTGGGTTTTTGTTTTTTTGCTGTGCTAGGGATTGAACCCAGGGCCTCCTGAGTGCTAGGCAAGCACTCTGCCTCTGAGCTATGTGCCTAGCCACCTATTTTAAAATTAACACAAATGGCATCATAGGCATAATGTTCTACCGCTGCTTTGTGAACCGCCTGTTGCACTTTCTTTTATTAATGCCAGGGTGTAGTCGATCCTTTTGCTGGCTGCATATTGCTCCACCGCATCATAGCCCCCCACCCCGACTCGCCCTGCCRACAGCTCCAGAGTCGGACCTACTGAAATCAGACCAGGTCCTCCTCCGGTTGGGCAGAGTGGAGTCACGTGAGGCTTAATGCTGYGTGCCTTTGGGGCCCTGCACCTCCCACTCCCGGAGCACAGAGCAGAGCAGATTGTGCGTGGTATGACTCGGGGTGGACCCCAGGGGTGCCAGCTCCCGCCCCCCACATCCTCCCTGAGTGAGCGTCAGTGTTCTTCCTTGGGTAGGCGTGGCCCCTGGCCTGCAGCTGGAATTGTGCATATATGGTCGTGGGACCAACCGCAAGAGGAGGACGGGAGAACTCCCCAGGCTTGGATTCCCCCAGGCCAGCCGGCATGCAGAGGTCCTCCCCAGCGTCCTGGCTCCRCCCCAGGAGGTCGCCCCTGGAGGAGGAGGGCAGCGCGTCCAGCACTACAGAGCGCGGAGCCTCTCCCTGGGCGCAGGCTATTTTTGCTCGCCAGGTCCTGGAGGGCTTCCAGGACTGAAGATGGGAACGGCCGCGTTCCCACAGCTCGCTGGCCCCCAGGGTGCCCTCTGGTGCCAAGGGCTCAGGTCCTGGGATGCCCATCTCGCTTCCCTCCCCAGCCCAACCTGAGCTCCTGGTGGCCAGGGACCGTGTCCTCTCCCTGCTCAGGCCTAGCACAAGTGCTGGGTGCAGTCCACTAGGTGGCCACGGACTCCCCTGGGAGTAACCTTGCGCTCTGTCCGCCCTCTCTTGCCTCTCGGGTTGGTAGCATGGTCCTTCGTGGAGGGAGACTGTGGGCTGCCAGGGGACAGGGCCACGGGGCCTGCTGGGAAGTTCCAGGTCCTCAGAGCCTCCCTGTGGGAGGCTGACCAGGGTGGACTTGGGCGGGCCTTGCTGCCACCAGAGGCCTCTGCCTTCTCGTGGTAAGTGGGTCCTAATACATGGGCCTCCTGGTTGTCACAGGGTTTGAAAATGACATTAATGACCCACCTGGATAGATGCTTATGATGGGTTTTCTGAAAGAACCAGATGGTACAGCAAAATTCTCAAGGACATTCTGACTCTGATGTGAGGGACAGGGGTAGCAAAAGTTCGGGACATGTTCAATGTCTTTAATAAGCAGCGGGCACCCTGGGACTCTGAGGGGGTGCATCCCCCCCGGGGACCTGGGGCTCCTTGGCGTGTGCTGGCTGGCAGGAGCACTCTTGGGGACACAGCACCCCGTGGGCCCAGAGCGTCTGGAAGCCTGGCCATGTCTTCCTCCTGTCCTCTCGGCCTCGCTGCTGCCCTAGCAACTGAGAGACCTGGAGGATGGACCCGGACCCGTCTGGAGGTGGCCGTGACTGGTGACTGTCCTGAAGTGGCGGTTGGTTGGTTACCCGCATGAATCGCTCACTCGGCGACCAGGGTGCGTGCGCCAGGTCTGCATCAGAGGAGCCRGAGGAGGAGACGGCCTGCCTGGGGGCTGCAGGGTCCTTGGAAGCCCGTTTCTGTTGCTCCCACAGAATGTCCCAGGCCAGGTGACCTGTAAAGGCCAGAAGCTGATTTGGCTGATGGTTCTGGAGGCTGGACGTCCAGGAGCCTGTGAGGATCTGCGAGGGCCTCAGGCTGCAGCAGGACATGGCGCAGAGAGAGCCATGTTGTCTGTCACTGGGTGACAGAGCAAGGGGGTCGCTCAGGTGTCTCTTCCCCTTGTAGAGCCCCTAAGGCCATCAAGGGGGCCACCTCATGATCTCCTCCAGTCCTAAGCTCCACTCCAAACGCCACCCATGTGCCAATGGGGGACAGGGTTCCCGGCACATGGACCTTTGAGGGCACATTGGAGCGGTGGCACATGGACCTTTGARGGCACATTGGAGTGGTAGCTGTGGGTCTGCCCGCAGGGACAAGGACGAGTGGGTAGAGTCCTCCCTTGGTGGTCCTGCCCTCTCTCCACTGCTGCTTTTCCTGAGGACCAAGTCAGCAGGTAAAGGTCACTTTGCAGCCTGTGGCCAAGTCCTTGCCGGGCTTGGGGCACCTGTCACAGTGTGTGGCCAAGCCATGGTGGAGCCAGCGGGAGGCAGCGACGGCAGGACCCTTGGGCCTAAGGGGCCTCCTGAGGTCTGCCCACTCTGTGCTAAACCCAGGCTGCTGGGGAGTGGCTGCTGATGTCTGCTCCTGGTGTGTCCCTTGGTGATGTGACATGACTCTACAGGTCCCTCTGAGGGCAGAGACAGAGCTTGATTCACACCTTAGGCTCACGCGGGTCCCCAGTGGATGGAAATGCTGATCTGGGTCAGAAAATACAGTGACAGAGAACTTGGGTCCCGGAGAAACTGACCGGGCCGTCCTGTGGGGAGTCCAGGCTCGCGTCTTGCTGGAAGCTCTGGGCTGGGTCCCAGCTCCACCTCGGCCTATCAGCCGGCAGGCTGGTCGCCCTCCCTGAGCCTCGTGTCCGCGTCTGCCAGCAGGAGAGGCTCATGCTGCTGCACTCGCCGCCCAAGCCGGCTGCCCAGCGCTGACCGGCTCCTCCCCCTCCCTGCTTCCTTCCAGGGCACCACACCAGCTCTGCACCAGGCCCAGGCTGTCCCGTCACCAAGTTGCTGCTGCAGGGCAGAACCATGAGTGGTGTCGCGGGTGGCCTCGCCTCCCTGGGGCTGGCACTGCTGGTCTGCGGAGCCCAAGGCTTCTTCCTGCCCAACGTCACGCAGCTGGAGAGCCTGCTCAGCAGGTACCAGCAGGCGGAGCCGCACTCCCGCGCCCGGAGGGCCATCCCCAGGACAGACCGGGAGGAGATCCTCATGCTTCACAACAAGCTGCGGGGCCAGGTGCAYCCCCCGGCCTCCAACATGGAGTACATGGTGAGTGCGGGCGGCAGCCACAGAGGCTGGCGCCAATGGCGGGAGGCTCGGCTGCCATCTTGGTGGCCTACCAGATGGGAGGCCACGTCCTTCTCACAGGACGTTGGAAGAACACCCAGGTTTGGCAGGCTCTGTGAACACCTGCTGTCCTCAGTGCTAGGTCCCCTTGGCCCCTCACATGAGCTGGCCCTTGGGTAGGGTGGGCAGGGCGTGACGTGTCCGTGGGACGGTGCCGTTGTGRAGAGCTGAGTCCCCCCAGTGTGGAGATCTGAGGACCCCCAGGCCGTGGAGTACGGTCGCCCTGGGCCAGCCTGCTGGAGTGTCCTTCCACTCCCCCGCTCCTGGGCACAAGCCAGGCACCTGGCGCAGCAGACGCAGAGCTCCCACCCAGCCTGGTGTGGGGGCCTTAGTTTGGCCCCCCTGGGACTCCGGTGCGGGGGCTTATTGGGGGTTGACCATGAGCCCGGAGGACAGGATCAAGGAGCCCGGCCTGGGCCGAAGCAGGGTGTCGGGGTGGGATGGCGGCTGAGGGAGCTGGCGCCCCCTCCCTGCAGYGGAAGGCACTGCGTGCCCCACAGGCTGGCTCCCCGTGGCCCAGGGCACCCAGGGCTGCGGATTGCCCCTCTTCTGGCTGTGGGGGCACAGGCCCTGGGGGCTTCTGCAGCACTGGGGGCAGGTCTGGGCCTGGTGGACACTGAGGTGGGGTTCTGTCACCCAGAGAGGAGCCTCAGCTTCCCACTGTCCACTTCTGAGATGGGAGGTGGCAAGGGGGTGGCCCAGGATGCCACACCATCTGCCTGGGGCGGGACCCCCCCACCCCCCACAGGACAGTCTCAGTTATCTTGGCCAAAAGGGACACAGGACAGGCAGGGAGGGAGCAGGCCCGCCACTGCCCAGGGCAGCTCCACAGCAGCTGGCACTGGGGTCCTGTAGCTCCATTAACAGGCCCCAGGGCTCTGCAGTTGGCCTTGAGTGAGCGCCTGCTGTGTGCCAGGTTGGGGGACCAGAGCCAGAGCACAGTCTCTGCTCCCCAGAGCCGGAGCCTGTCGGGCACTCGGTGGGCGAGCAGCTGCGGGCACGTGGTCAGCCGGGAGGGCTCTCGGGTCTGCCCTCTGCAGAAGGGCAGGGCCTGGCCCCGCTCGCTCCTGATGCTCTTTCCCAAGGCGTGGGCGGGCGGGCTGCCTCCCCTGTGTGTGGGTGCCTTGGCCCAGACCCCAGCTGGCCCCTGTCCAGGTCGGGCTGTGCGGGGGGCTGGGCAGCACAGGAGACGAAGCCCTTCCTGACCGATTTCCCTCAGGATGGGGGTGAACGTGCCACACCTGGCCATCTTCTCCAGGGCACTGTGTGCAGGCCCCTAAGGTAGCCCGCCACTCTCTCCGTCCCATCCTGACACCCAGTAGTCCTGTGCTTCTGTCCCCTGTCCCCCATGAGAGCCACCAAGAGTCTAAAATCCCAGGAGTCCCCATGGCTTTTCCATGGCCACGCCCATCCCTGGGCACCTCCTCCCTCCATCTCCCTGCTGTGCCCTCAGCCGGGGGTACCGCTGCCCATGTTGCAGATGGAACCGGGGGCTGGGCGCGGTCGCACATGTGTTCACAGGTGTTCACAGGTCGCTCGGGGCCATCCTGAGCCAGGGCCCATCCCGAGCCAGGGCCCATCCTTAACTAGGACCCATCCTTAACCAGGGCCCATCCTGAGCCAGGGCCCATCCTGAGCCAGGACCCATCCTTAACCAGGGCCCATCCTGAGCCAGGACCCATCCTTAACCAGGGCCCATCCTGAGCCAGGGCCCATCCTTAACCAGGGCCCATCCTTAACCAGGGCCCATCCTGAGCCAAGACCCTTCCTTAACCAGGACCCCTCCTTAACCAGGGCCCATCCTTAACCAGGGCCCATCCTTAACCAGGGCCATCCCGAGCCAGGGCCATCCTTAACCAGGACCCATCCTTAACCAGGACCCATCCTTAACCAGGACCCTTCCTTAACCAGGGCCCATCCTTAACCAGGGCCCATCCTTAACCAGGGCCATCCCGAGCCAGGGCCATCCTTAACCAGGACCCATCCTTAACCAGGGCCCATCCTTAACCAGGGCCCATCCTGAGCCAGGACCCTTCCTTAACCAGGACCCTTCCTTAACCAGGGCCCATCCCGAGCCAGGGCCATCCTTAACCAGGGCCCATCCTTAACCAGGACCCATCCTTAACCAGGGCCCATCCTTAACCAGGACCCTTCCTTAACCAGGGCCCATCCTGAGCCAGGACCCTTCCTTAACCAGGACCCATCCTTAACCAGGACCCTTCCTTA